ATTTTCTGCAAGAACTTTAAGGCCCTTTTCAGCCAGAGATAGCAGCTGTCACACTTGGGCTCTGTGTTGTCCCAAGCTCAGTCACTCAGTAGTGAGGCTGCAGATCTGCAGAGTCCAAGGGATTGGTTTGACTTCCCACATAACAAAATCTCTTTTTCTGGGCCGTTTCTCCAGGATTTGAGTGTGTTGCTCTAGCTGTTGAGGATTGAAAAATAACTACTAAAAATGTTAAGTGGCTTTTAGGAACACCTGAGGTAATACAGTGCTGGAGAAGATGCTAAAGAGCTGTTTGATTTGCAGTGGAAATTCCTGAGGAGATCTGATTTCATGGCAGTTTAGGTGTAACAAAGCAGTGTCAGGTGTTTTATTAAAGAGTCTRCTAGAAAACAGGCTTTGTGCTCTGCCAGCTTCCAGCCGTGTTCAAGGTTCTGACCTCCTTTTCATGGTTTGATCTCGCTGGAGCTCWAAAGTAGAGTGTTGTTGTGCTGTGTTAAATGTCACTGCTCCCCTCATTTTGGAAAGGAGGTGGGGSAGGCAGAGTTCGTGTCTACACAAACCAGATTTTGAACACTTAAACCAGTTCTAAAAGAGCTTTCTGTGGGGAATGTCGCAGATCATCAGAAGATATCCCATGGTGGTTTGATGAAATAAGTGGCTTTTTGCTTCCATTACAGGGGGGAAACCAGACGACATCACCGTCCTTCTTTCCATCGTAGCCGAGTACACAGACTGAGGTCCTGGCACTGTCCCGAGCTCCCCGGGCCCCCCGGCCGTTTCCTGCTGGCAGGATTGTTCCTTCCTTCCCAGCTGCTCCGGGCAGCCGGCCCTGAGCCCACAGCCTGGTCCGAGATGCAGCTGAGGCCCTTGCTAAGAACCACTCGTAGTCCACTGGTCTTGGTCTGCCAGCAAGAGATGAAGAAGCTCAAGGCTTGGAGCTTGTCTTTGAGAGCTTAGTCCTTGTCCGGAACAGGGGGAGCATCCATCCCACAGCGTTGGAGATGTGACTTTCCGAGGAGTAGAATTGGTTGATCATCTTTCAAACTAGATCAATAGGTAACACCTCTGCACGAGGGCATATTACTCTATTTACTAGGAACGTTCGCTGTTGTTGAGGGTATGTTACAGACCCAGTTCCATAAAGCATAGTCTTGTTCCAGTGATAGCCGAGGTTTCGTGTTTCTGAGCTCCAGTTTTCAGGAGATTTATAACTGCTGTAAACATTCTGCTCTTGCCATCCATGGTGTCAGCCTTAGGAGCCTTTTCTAGTACGAGATTTCAAACAAACCTAGTTCAAGTTATATGGATGCAAATGTGTTTTGTGATTTCAGGTGCTTAACTGTGATCTTAAAAGTTCTGCAGATCATTCGTCCATAATGGGCCTGGTTCTGGATGTTTTGGCTGTGGATAATTATTATTTTTTTTAAACAAAAATTCTAGCCCAGTCTCAAACAGCTGAGCTGGCCACAGTTGAGGTCTTTCAGCATTTGAACCCATCTCGGCGTGGGATGATGGTAAATGCTGCGGTGGGAGGTTGCACAAAGAACAGCTCATCCTCAACTCCGAGCATCTTCACTTTGGGTAGATAATTCTGTTGTTGATAAAACATAATTTGTGTTAATAATTGCTACTCTCGCTTGTAGAACAGAATATGCTGCACCAGTTTAAGTCCAGTTGATCCTTTCTGACTCAAACAGGCACCACTTTGCTTCTGCTGCAGCAGCGGCAGCGAGTACGAAAATGGAAACTTAATGAATAATCAGCAAAACTTACATTTCATTTTAACTAAAATTTAGGGGTTTCAATGATCCTTAATGATGTTTACAGTTATCTAACAGCCACTTTGCAATATGACATTTCCTTTTCGATGGCAGTAGCTCACGTTTGTCCCCCCCTCTTCCAGCCAGCTTTCCTTTTCCTTTCCTGAGGCTCATATGAAAGCTGAGAGCTGTAAAGATATATATATTTTTGGTCAGTTTTTCATTAACTTTTTTGCTGGTAGAGAAGTATGTAGAAATAAATTAAAGCCATGTTTTTATATATAAAAAGTCGGGTAATGTTGCTGTTTAGGTGAGTGCAGTTAAACTTGGTCAGTAAGGAATCTTACCTGCTCTCAAGAGGAGATTTTTACTACCTGGTTTATTGTATTAAAACTGTTTAAGTTTGAGGTTACCTCAACTTGTTTAAAGAATTTTTGTGGACTTGTACTGTATATTTGCGTAACTATGTCAAGCTTTTATTTAAGGTCATTTAACATGTACCATGTACATGTCATTTTACTATATTTCAATGCATCATGCTTGTAACAGGCATTTCATTTATAATAAGTGATTAATTTGGGAGCTCTTCAGTAATTTATCTGCTATTCCTCAATTGGCATAATGTTAGATATCTACTTTAAATCACCTTGTAATTACTTGTCAAAATGCCTTAACTACCCTAACTTGACCAAAATAGGATTTTGGTGAGGGTATGGGGAGGATTATATTAATGAAGAAAAATTAATTAGTTTTGCGACACACGAACAGTGAGTGGTGGAGAACTTTGCACAACCTGTCAGTCCTTGTTGTTTTTAACCTGAACAAGCTGTCTCTGGCTGTCTTGGAGGAATGTATTCACATGCAGAACAGGGCTTTGTTTCTTGTTTGGGAGGTTCTCTCCCGACTCTGGGTGTCTTTACATTTTATCCAGTATTTACTCGCACGCTTCTGGATTAGAGCAGATTTGATCAATTCTTCTTTCCCTTTGCCCTTCCTTTCAGGAGACGCCCCYGTGGCCCCGGGCTGTTCTCTGGCCCTGCTCTTAGCACAGTCCCCAGCACTCGAGTTCCCCCTTCCCAGTTTTCCAGACCTTTCCCTGGGGATGTGTGCGGGTCAGAGGGAGCGCTGGGCTCTGGAATTCCGGGCGCGCTCCCTGTCTGTATCCACAAAGCCGTTTGCCTCATATCACACCATGACTTGTTGGGKTTTTTTTTAATAAAGAACAAATTTGGGTTTTGATTTACAAATCATGAGTTTTTCCCTCACCGGGCACACCAAAGACCAGTAAAGCTTTTAGCTTTTCCATCTGTTTATAAAGCAATACTGTATTATAAAGAATTGATATTTTTATCACATGCTTGATTGTTTTGGGTTTTTTTTAAGACGTGCACTCTGAACATATCAAACCTGATTTTTTCCTATGAACTTAAGCTGTCTGCGCACAACAGATTTTTGGAGAAGGAAATGACAGGGCCCATCCTATCAAAATTATTCCCAGCGATGCATGAAGCAGTAACACTTGTTAGGGCTTAGGTTAGTAAGAATGTTCACGAGAGGAATGTACAWGGAAGGTGTTCCCTGACTTGGAAGCGAGCGGAGCACGGGCTGGCTTGGAGCTGCTGCAGAGGGTTGGGGTTTGTTTTGGGGAGCTGGTGGGGTGGGAGCAGGGATCTGGAGGAGCAGGAGGAGCATTGTCCCCCAGGAACCTGGGATTGCTGCAGCAGCGGCTGTAGGGAWTGGGGTGAAGCAGGGCTAAGATGTGGTGAATTGGAAAAGCTCTGTGGTTCCTTGCTGTTTTCCTGGCTATCTTTGGGAGAGCTGCGACATACAGTCCTAAATGCCCTTTTTTGGGTTTTGGGAGAAGGTCGGGCTGAAAACAAAATCAAACCAAAAACCAGATTTGGGACCAGACAAGTGAGTCAGGGAGAAGGGAGGGGTGAAGGTCTGGCAAGGATGGGAGGATTTAGTGGTGGAATGTCTGTCTCTTGATAAGGGACATCCTTTCTCCAGGGGAGAAGTAGCTGGTGGGTGGAGAGCCCGACTGTATGCAGTAGTTTCTGACAAAGATAGCTGAAACAATGAAGCAAATCTGAGTCTGTATCTGAGGATGCTTTTTTGTTGCTGTTAAAATGAGACTATCATCTATGCTTACCTAAGAGGCAATTATGTGAATTTCATGTCTGAGGTATAACTTATGCAGGAATAGTTCTGTAAATACATTTAAATAAATTGTAAAGATATTTAATAAATATAGTATTTATACTAAAATATGCTTTTTAAAGTCAAGTTGCCTGCAAACCCTCTGTTTGTTAAATGTGGGGATGTGGCTGGCASAGAGGCACTGCCAGGGCCAGAGTGGCTGGGCTGTCACTGTGACCTCCCTGCACTGTTCTCAAATCCACACCTGAGTGACACCCAGTGCCCTTTCTAGCAGCCTGGCAGACAGATAATGATCCTTTAATTGACTGGGAATTTCAGTATTTTATTTCAGTGTGACTTTGGAAATACTGCACGGCCTGTGACTTGTGGTGGAACAGATGCAGGGAAAGAAAAGAGTAATGCAAGTGGGAAACACAAACCTTTATTTTTCTAAAATGCAATTTTGAGACAACTTTGGTTCAGTTAAACACTGTTCCTACAGAGTTCCTATAAAAACCTGAACACTCCTGGAGCTGGCTTGGGTTTGGCTGTGCTGGAGGGCTTGGATGGGTTATTTTTCCAGCACCTTTACGTAGAACAGCAGCTTTATTTGCCTGGTGTGGTAACAGAGTTTGAATTCAAACTGAGACTCCCTCTAGTGAGAGTGTTCTGAGAGCAGAACCCCCAGCAGAACACACAAACCTCAACTGAGTCAGTCGTGACCTACATTTGTGTTATTGCAAGAGCACCAACAGTTCCAGAAYGTTCTGTGCTGCTGGGTCACAGCACCAGTGACAAACCCTGGGCCTGCACTGCCCTTCCCTCCCAGGCACTCGCCCTGGTCTGTCCTTGGACCCCAACACCTGCACTACAGAACCTGGGAACTCTGCAAGGTACTGAAATCCTCCTCGGTGTCACTGGCTGTCACTAARCTCTGGAAGGTGTCACCGATGGCCTCCTTCTCCTTGTAAGAGACAGCTCCAAAGAATAAGGAGTGGAACTGGAAAACGCAATATTTGTACAGGTAAGAATTCTGTGACAGAATTTGGRCATTAATTATTTGTGAAGCTTTTGCTACCTGAAGATCTTTCTCAGCGTGCAGTGTTTCCCAGTGAAACCCACCTGACCCCTGGCAGTGTTCCCAGCAGGGRTGGGGTTTTGCAGCTGTGAAAGCTGATCCCATTGAAACCCCATGTGCAGATGGGCCCCAGTAAATGTGSGGGTGCTCAGCCAAACAGCAGCTTTGGGGTCCCACTGCTAACCTGGGGTGTCCCTCACCTTCTGATACGGAGCCTGCATGGCCTCTCCTCCCTCTGCCTCGGCCGTGGCTGCTCCTGCTCTGCCTGGCACATCCCTCTCCGTGCCTATTGTTACCTCATGTTTTGCCGAAGCACTTGGGGTTTTTGCTGAGTTCGTGCTCGGAGTGTTCCCATTCTGCTGTGGGTTTTTGGAAGCAGCTGTTCCTSCGTTGCTGGCTCTGTCYGTGGAGGTCTGTTCAGATTTATCCRCAGGTGTCTTTGAGCTGGATTGGACACAATAGGGCAGGTTAGCAACTGGCTTTATGTGTTTCATTGAAATATCTTTATTTTCTCCTCTGCTGCACCCAGAGGAGATGAGGAAAACAGCACCTTGTATGGACTGTTCTCTCTTGCACCCCTTTATTGCTGTTGTGCAGCTGAGATGTTCCTGAGCCCCTCTAGTTCACAGTTTCCTGTGAAAACGTGAGTTTTTCATCCTCTAAAGGCCACCTGCCCCCTCAGCCCCTGTTACCTGTCACAGGGCCGTGGGCAGCCCGCAGGCTGTGGGGAAGCTGCCTCCTTCTCAGCCTCACACAAGGTAGCCAGGATAAAGCTGGCCTCCAGCAGCAGGTCCTCGATGCTGAAAGCAATGGGTCTAAACACAAACATGGAGACCAAACAGCACAGGGAATTACAGATATTGTCAGAGGTGATGCCGCTTGTGCAATTCTATCTAATTGTGGATTAGAAATGCCTCCTCTGAGGAGCTGAAAGTCTCCTGTATTTGCTGCTGAGGAATGAGAGAGGGGCTCCTGTTACAGATAAGCTAATGCTGGGCAGTATCAGAGTCAAATGACAGCTTTAAATATGGAATTGTTTAAATTATATTTATTCAGAAAATGTATTGTTTCTTTAGACTGCTAAATAAATCATGRTATGCATGAGACTGAGAGCCTCAGGTGTCCAGGTAATTTATACACAGGGAACTCATCAGTCAGCACGGCTGCCTTGGCAATGCCCCCACCCGTGTAAATGCTTTTCATGGATTACAAACTCTATTCCTGGACTGCAGGTTAGAAATGGCTTTTGGTTTGGAATGAAAACCTCTGTTGCTGCAGTTCAGTATTCACTGGGTGACTGCAGGGGCTGCAATCAGGGCAGTTCCAACACGTACTTCCCACATCTGTCGAAGTGGATGGACACAGGAATGCTGGTGGCTTCGGAGAACGCCAGCAGGCCCTGCAAAGAAGGGCTGGGGGTTATATGCTTGTATAAACCCACAAGATTAATATAAATTTATCCCAGCTGCTGGTAAAAAAGAGGGGAAAAGTGCTGCTTCTAGGAATAATTTCTTTCTGTATGGACAACTTCCCTGGTCATGTTGCTTTCCCCAGGGCAGCTGTGCTGAGTTTGCCCAGCAAAGAAAATATATTTTTGTTTTAGAAATGCTTTGTTTGCCTTTCAAAGGCTGCTGTGMGGGGCTCTGCAGTGTTGTGAGGATCCTGGGGTTTAAAGTTAATCCTCAACCAGGTGGTGAAATCCTGCTGCTGTCAGGGTGGCTGGTGGGACACAGCCCAGGGCCTTTCCACAGGGACCATCCTGTGTTGTCCTGGTCCAGTCAGGCAAACTAATCAGAAATGGTTTACTTTCSAGACAAATTCTTACTTTACCCTCAATTCTTTAAGGCAAAATGTTACTTCAGAATCTACTCCAACTTGAAAGTAGTCAAATTCCTCTGGAYTGAGCTGTATCTCAGTAAGCATTGTCCTTGAAAAGTCTGTTTGAGATAAGAAGAAAGTCAGGGACTCACAGGAGTGAAGTTTGAACTCAACAAAACTGTGATTATAAACTTGAGATTTTTACATCAGCATTGTTGGAACAAGTAATTGTTTTTKTATTGGTTAACRGTAATAAATGTTTAGCTTATATATRTTATAATTGAGYAAAATCCTCAATTTAGTTGCAGTACATTGTGTAGATTTAAATGGATTTTACTGAACCTGTTCCATGTTCTGCTGTGTGATCTAACCCAATACCTGCTTCTGTTCTCRCAGCTCTGCTTCTTCCACAAGAAGAAATAATTACAAATAATACATTACAAATAATATTCCCAGCTGCCTATTGTTGCATGGATGGGAAGCCCAAAAGGCCGCCTGACTTTAACAGATTAATCTTAATTAAATTTGCTGACAATAATCAGAGCACAATGGAGGTGGACTAAGGCTCTTTGTTTTAAATGGCAATGTTTTCCTGACACTTAAGCAGCAACAGGAAATTGGCTCCTCAGTTTCAGGTATTCAGTTGTTGCTCGTTACCATGAGATTARTAGGTGTGTGAAGAGAAAGTGAGAGGCTGCTTTCCTGATGTGTAACAGTCCYAGAGAACTCTGAGAAATTCCACAGCAGCTTGAGCAGCTCACCCCCAGCTGCACCCCCACAAAGCCAGGCTGCTAAATAAGTGTTACAGCCCATTCCCACTTCTCCTTTTCTCTGTTCAAGAGTTTTGTTTCATCTCGGCTTTCAGGGACAGGCTCTGGTGAGAAGCTCCTTGCAGCTGGAGCAGGGGGTGTTTGTCACACACGMGCAGCTGTGGCTGAGCCCATCGTGCAAACCAGAGCAGGTCTGGGCARAGGGTTTGGTTTCTGCCTTTGGAAACGAAACCTGAGCGTGGAACGTCCCAGGCCATGGCCCCGTGAGGTGTTCAGGGGACACAAGAGCTGCTGCAGGCAGGGAGATTCACAGACAGAGAACAGCTCCTCTCATTCCTCCTCCATCCCTCCCTCTCAGAGGGTTTTGGTATCTTTTTACAATTGTACCGTTTTTTTTCACTTTCTGTCTTACAATAGTCCTGGTAAGTGAATGTTTCTAAAGTAATCAAATGTGTCATTCCAAATGTCATCATTTCAGTAATTTCTGCCCTGTTTCACTCCAGCCAGTTTCCACCACTTGATCCTTGCTCTCCCCTGCCTCAGCCTGTTCCCAGCCCAATTCCCTCCCCTGTGCTCCAGGCTCTTCCCAGGTCATTATCCTCAGCTTTGGTCAGAACAAGTATGAAAAGCATCTCTTCATTATACAAAACACAAGAACCTCTATTTCAAAACCACAATTATATCTTCAAAATTAGTTTCAGTCACACCCCTAGAATCTACAGCTTGTTCTCCGTCTCCTGGAGATGTGACCATGGCAGTGGCAGTGCAGGGCCTGCTGACACTGTGCTGTCCTCAGACTAAAATATACTCTCTAATGATATCAATTYTATAATTGTGGTATTCAGATTTAAATAGTTCTTTTTAAAACATAAAATTATCCCCTTTTTTCCTGGCAGTTGCCAGGCTTCTGCTCTTGCAGCACAGTAATTACCTCTTTCAAGCCTACAGCAAGTGGCATAATTTATTTCAATTGGCTGCTCAGTCTGAGATCTGCCACTGACACTAGGAAGATGTTTCAATTTATTTAAATTTATTTAATTTATTAAAACCAGAGGGTGGCAGCATGACTTAAAATCTCTCTGTATAATGTTCTGTTAAAAACGTTGTTCAGCCATAAAATTCATCCCACGTCTATGTYGTGACAGTTATTATTCCTTGAGTTCACCTTAAAAAAAAGTGTTAAAAGTCCAAGTATTGGTTAATTTTTGGATTTCCTTACCAGTGTCTTCCTCCGTGTAACTCCTGAAACAAACTTTCATTGGAGTAACTGATAAGGTTATTTCTTCCTGACTGGTTGGAAAGTGAATCATCACATCAGCCAGCAGCCTGTAAAATGTCATTCAACACTAAAATAATTCTATCTATGAATATTGAGCATTTATCACATTAGAAAGTAAAACTCAGAAATTATTTCTGTGTTTGTTACCTGGAGTGGACTTTAAGAATGTTTGGACACATGTGCTTTGCAAAAACAGCCTGCAAGGGATCACACTCTTGAAATGCCAGGTTATAGGTTTTTACAACACCTGAGTATAAAGGAAACAAACAAAAATCAGTGCTGGCTGTAATTTTGGGGTTTTTTTGTAAAGTATTAAGTGTTCAATAGAGGAAGTAACCATGTGACTGAGCCCAGCCATATGGAAATAACTCACCACAAACAGGAAATAGAATTCATCTGCCATTTTAGACTCCCTCCATCCCATTAGTTGTGCCTGGACAGCACCCGAGCTTTTTAAAGATCCCCAAGAAATAAAACAGCAACAAGTGCAACAAATGCAGGCGGGAAATGGCCTCAGCAATTAACAGGTAAAATAATATAAATGGGGGTGGAATGCAAAAGACAAACCCTGGGATGAGGATGTGCTAAGGGAGCTCAGCTGCCTGCAGCCCTAATTCAATGTATTATCCCCTTATCAGCAAYACCAGCTGGATTATTGATAACAGAAACCACTGCCTCCAACACAGCACAGCTCTGGGGGAGATGGTGTTTATTTAGGAATTCTGCACAGATTGATGATGATGAACATTCCCAGCCCTGCTGGGCTGAGGATGAGCTGCTCCTGTGTTGATAATGGCATTAAATGTTGTGCTGCCCTGTGATTTTCAAGTGAAGTCACTTCTGTGACCTTACCGTGCCTGCAGAGGAGCTGGAAGGTTACGTGATGGTCTTTAGGGCTGGTGGAGATGCTGCATTTCTCTACATTCCTTTCCAGCATATTTACACATCTAAACACAGAGAGAACTGACTGCAAAAAAAAAACCCAAACAAACAGAAATCAGTGCAGAGGTTACTCCCTGAGCAGTTTTTTACAATAAATATAATTTCCATGAGTTTGTACCCTGGTTTATTTCAAAACTCCTGCACTTCAACTGCTCTGGGGACACTGGGAGAGCCCAGGCTGATCCTGGCCATGCTCGCCCACTATCATTTCAGCTGGAAATTGGGTTAATTTTCTGCTTACAAAATTGGGTGTAACATCTCATTAAAATGTACCTTAATTATCAATTTACAGGGGAGGGCTAACTGCTTCTCCTGACATGGTTGGGACRCGGCTGTCCAGCAGTATTGTTGGAAAAACATGGATGAGAAGAACACACATGCATATGCTGATCTTGAGGAATTCACTGATCTTAAGGCAAGCTGGAAATGGAATCACAGAATCATTAGGGTTGGAAAAGACCTCCAACATCATTGAATCCAACCACTGATGGAGCAGAAGTGAAATAATTGAATAACTCAAAACTATCTCATATTAAAYCTTGTAAAAGAAGCCTTCTCTGGGCTTAGTACACCAGCAAACCTGGAAATCTCAAAAATTTATAAAAATCTATAAAAATATGTCTTTTAAAGCTGGTTTTAATATTATTTACAAAAATGATTGAGTTACCCAAAGACCCAGCACTCAGCTTGTGGTTGAGGCATTTGAGGGACATGATCCATACAAATAAGCCAAGACACCACTCCCATCTCAAAAATYTTTCATGTATAAAAATAAATTATGTCCACTTATGATTTTTCCAACTTCCCAGTGAGTCAAGGACAGCTGATCACTTTTCACTAAGAAACCTCCAGRGAAAACCCTAATTCTGCTGGAAATGGTGTTTGATTAATCAGAGGCATTAATGGATGTGTTCTTCCTGTCGAGTACAAAACATGTTGTTTTTAGAGGCAGCTCCTGTGTGGTACAAAACTCAAACCTTTTGACCTGTGACAACAGAACTGAACCCCATGGCATTAATCCGGATGTCCTGGACAACAAAAAATCAAAGGATCTTAGGGCAGAGTAGGAACAAAATCTTCCATGATGGAATGTGAATAATTAAAATCACAGAAAACATGGCATTTGTCCATATGGAAAGTGAAGGGAGCTGAGAATGTGATGGACTGAAGGGTACCTGTAAGGAAAACACATTATCCAATAGTATAAACACTGGGCTTCCAAGAAAGATTCTTAAATTTGAATAAATCGAATTCACTTACACCTTTTTCTACGGGGTCAAACCAAAATTCATCACTAATCCGTGCTATGGCATGGATTGCTCTTCCAAACACTGTCAGGGAAAGAAAACATTGCAACATGCATTCTAAATGAAAATTAACAAGTTATACTGCACCTTCTCCAGAATAATTTAAGAGGCAAGWTCACAAATTTCCTATGCATTTGAAAGAAAACTAATGGTGGAAATGTTTTTCTTTTTAATGAAACTTTTAATTTTCCAAACCTTTGATGTTTTGGAAAGAAGCATCTCACATGTCACGTGTATTTGCAGCATCCAATGCTTACCACAAACAAATTCAATCAGACAAAACTCCACCACCGGAGTTAAAAATTATGTTTAGCAGATGGAGAGTCTGGGAAGGCAGGGGACAGCTGGAGAGATGGAACCTTAAGGAACCCAGCAGAGCCTTGGGATTTGCCTCAGGCAGCGGCAGAGCAGCATTTTCCCCAGAATCTGCACCTCTGGAAGCGCACAGGGACACACAGCGCTGCCAAGGCCATGACATCTCCACCTGCGAGTCCCCAAATCCAGGGCTCTGCTCCCAAATATGATCATCCCGCACCATGGCCCGATCCCTCCGGGCTGAGGGAGAGGCGGATCCGCGCTCTGTCCCAGCGCTCCCGTCCCGCTCGGCACCGCCCCTGAGGGAAGCACCCCGGCCCGCCCCGCATGCGGGAGCTCCCCGTTCCCGGTGTCCCGCGGCAATCCCGGCGTGTCCCGCGGCAATCCCGGGGTGTCCCGCGGCCATCCCGGCGTGTCCCGGGCTCCCCGGGCTCCCGGTACCTCGGAGCTGCGCCCCCCCGATCACGCACTTCATGGCCGCCCCCTCTCCCCTCACGGCGGCGGAGGGCGGGAAACTCCCCCCTCACGGGGGAGGTGGAGCTGCGGAGCCCCGGATGTGGAACCCCGGGATCGCGGGGATGGGGAATTGTGGAATTATGGAATTGTGAAACTATGGAATTGTGGAATTGTGCGATTTTGGGTTATCCCGAGCTGCGAGCCACCCACAGGGATCAGCGATACAGCCACTGGCCCGTCACAGACACCCCAACAATGCCCCCCCTGTGCATCCCTGGCAGCGCTGTCCGAACGCTCATGGAGCTCTGGCAGCCTCGGGACCGGGACCATTCCTTGGGGTGTCTGTTCAGTTCCTGACACCCTTTGGGGTTAAAACCTTTCTCTGATCTCCAACCTAAACCCCCCGGACACAGCTCCAGTGTTCCCTGGGTCCTGTCCCTGCTCCCAGAGATCGGAGCCGCCCCTCTCGGCAGCACCAAGTGAGAAACACCGAGCGAGGAAACGCCCCGACCCCAAGAGAAACACTGAGCGTGGCATGGATTAACATGGGAGGAGAGAATCATTAACCAGTGCATACTAATTAATAAGAGAACTGTGTAACTCGTAGCCAATGAACACTCTAATTGCTTGGCTTCSTAAAATGGATCAATAGTAAAAAGTATTGATAGTTGGAGTGCTTTGTGAGACACCACGGAGCACCCAGGCTTGCACAACTCTGAAATAAATAATGTCTCAAATGTCATTATCGGCTTACTATACTACTATTATTATTATTATTATTATTATTATTATTACTATTATTATTATCATCATCATCATCATCATCATCATCATCATCATCATCATCATCATTATTATTATGTTTTGCGGACAATTCTCAATTTTACACAGTTTCACGTGTGTAGAAGCCCAGTGGGTGTGGAGCGCGGCACGAACGCGTTCGGCGCTGTGCGGTCCCTTGGCAGCCGCCGTAGCGGGGGCGGTGCCGGGCGGGTTCCGGGAGGGCCGGAGCGGAGCGGGCGCGATGGTGAGAGCGGGGCGATCGCGGAACCGGGACCCCGCCCCGGGACACCCCGGGACCCCGCACCGGGACACCCCGGGCACCCCGGGACACCGGCACGGCCACAGGAGCCGAGCCCGAGCCGGCCTGGCCGGGGGAGAGCGGGCGGGAGGGCGGTCCCCAGCTAAAGGCGAGGCCCCCTGAGGGTGAGGGCCGGGCCGTCACTGCAGGAGCCCCGTTTGTAATTTGTATTAATTTTATCGTAATCGCATTAATTTTTGTTTTATTTAACGCTTCTTTCATAACATCGACAATTCATTAATTATTATTTTCCCATTCATTTGGCTGTGTTTTCTGTTGCTTCCTCTCGTTTAACATTGATCATGTTCCGCCCTGTTTTYCATCCCCTGCAATCAACTCCTTCATTCCAATCAGGCTGGGCACAGAGTAAGTTACTCCTTGGCTCTCGCTAACACCGGTGGTAAGGGCTCGTTCGTGTTTTCTGTGTCAGTGGCAGGTGAATGAGGGGCTGCTGGTCAATCCACCCCCCAAGATCACACCCAAATTCCCTGTAAAATCCAGGTGTTTTTATCATTCTCTGCCGCTGCTCCGTGCTGCAGATGCCTGTGATGATTAAACACTGCAGTGCTGTTAATTCGGTCTGGTCACTGTAGCTTGCCAAGCTTTTCTTTAATGAAGGGAGCTGAAATGTGATTTTTGGGAAAACGTGGGGGTGACAGTTTGTCAGCAAAGGGAATGTCTGTGTTGAGGGCACACACTGCTGGGTGGTCTGAGTGGCAGGATAATTTGATTAAATATCAAATAAATAACTGGTATCGCACATTTAAATCCCTTAGGCAGCAGTAAGACAATCTATTGCCACTTTTTAATCAGAATCACTGTTACCCACTTGTTACTCTTCAAAGACCACAAAAAAATGTCTTTTTTCTTCCCTCTGTTGGTTTAGTTTTAAGTTAGTCACTCGTTGGTCAAAAAGCTTTTGGTATTGCTTTATCAATGCTCTCAACCATCTGTCTCCAGATGGCTTTGATGGTGGCACTGAGATGTTCTAAAAAAAAAAACAACCCCTCCAAACCAATCAAAAATACCACCCAAGTTTCCTCTGCCTTTTTGAGGACTTAAAGTTAGCCTAAAGGTAACTGCACAGCCTAAAAAGATATGAGAAAAATCTTAAAAATACAATTTGCTAGCCTAGTTATATTTGTTTCTAGAAATAAATCTGCACTGTGTCCTTTACGAACACATTTGAGGGTTTCATTTTAGGGTTCATTTGAGGGTTTCATTTTAGGAATTGCCTCGCTAACATGAGTTGGAAGATAAAATCTCTTGAATATGGAACAGTTCTTTAAGTTACCAGGGCTGAGTGTGTTCTCAGTGTGGTGCCATAACATCCCCTCCCTGCTTTATAAAGCTTCTCATGCCTTTTTTGCACAATTAATTTGTCCTGTGTTGCTCGTGTTATTTCTTTATTTGCAGATTTGAAGCCTGTGCTGTTAAGCTCTGGCCTTGCATCGTCTGAGTCCTTAATTTTGAAGCCCCCACTGCATTTTAATTCTGGCATCTGTTGTATTGAAACTATGAATGTGTAGAAGTGGTGACAGGAACACCCTGTGCAGTGGCCTGGATTGGCTTCTCTGCAGTGCCCTGTTTGTGTTTTGTTGTTATTTCTGAGCCTTTTTCTGTTGTTCAGTGGTTTCTGCAGTGAGGACTCTGAACACGCTTCCTCCTCTGATCAGCTATTAACATGTGTTGCAAATCTGCTGCTTTTTAAAAATATTATTGTTATTTTTTTTTATAAGGGGAGAGAAACTTGGATGAAGTTTTTTTTAGTGGCTGCAGTTTAGYCAGGTCTGTGCTTGAAATGTGCCAGAGAAAAGAGTGGGATTGTTTATGGTGGCTCCCAATTCTGTGTAAAATATGCAAGATAATACAACAATTATCTTGCACTGTTGGCTTTCAGCAACAAAACTAAAGTAACTCTGTAGATTTGTGCTTGTTAGGTTTGGTAAAGACCCTCGTTCCCTTGAAATTTGAGAGCCAAATTCCATCACCATTCCATCCTTATTTTAGCAGCTTTTGATGCAAAAGCAAAGCTGTGACTGTGCAGAGGACGCTGCAGTGCTGCCTTGTGCCCTAACCAGTGTTTGTAACTCTCTTCCCTCTGTCCTGCCCCCCAAGTTGGTGCTGGTGCTGGGAGACCTCCACATCCCCCATCGCTGCAACAGCCTCCCCGCCAAGTTCAAGAAGCTGCTGGTGCCTGGGAAGATCCAACACATCCTGTGCACAGGGAACCTCTGCACCAAGGACACCTATGACTACCTCAAGACCCTGGCTGGGGATGTTCATGTTGTCAGAGGGGACTTTGATGAGGTAGTGTCCATTTTTTTTACATAAAAGCGACATTTGGGTTCATTCAAAAGTGGTGAAATGAGTTCCTGAGCTCTCCCCTTCTTGGTGTGGCACAGGGTTGAATTTAAATCTATCTAATGTGTGTTTTTTTATTTTTTTTTTAATTTTTAGAACCTGAATTATCCCGAACAGAAAGTTGTGACTGTTGGACAGTTCAAAATCGGGCTGATTCATGGCCATCAGGTGATTCCCTGGGGTGACATGGCCAGCCTGGCGCTGCTCCAGAGGCAGTTTGATGTGGACATCCTCATTTCAGGACACACACACAAATTTGAGGCGTTTGAACATGAAAACAAATTCTATATTAACCCAGGATCAGCTACAGGAGCCTACCATGCCTTAGAGAAGTAAGTGAATATGGGAAACCTCTGGGGGGGCTTTTTTTTGGTAACAAAACTGAACTGCACACTCCTGAGGGTTAATATTTATGTTTTRAATGTCAAGGAGAGGACTTTTACAGCTGTGCTTGCTCAATCTCCATGAGTGAAACATGAAATAAAACCTCACGTATTCAGAATTCCCATTTTTTTTAAAGTGATTTCTGCTAAACAGTGGTAAAACGTTGCTAAGGGAATTATAGACACACAATCATGAATTTTCTTCTCTCTTTGCAGCAACATCATTCCTTCATTTGTGCTGATGGACATCCAGGCTTCTACAGTAGTTACATATGTCTATCAACTAATTGGAGATGATGTGAAAGTAGAAAGAATCGAGTACAAGAAATCCTAAAAATGTTTTTGCTTGTCTGGTATTTTTACCATCTCCTTCTGAACTGCAAGTTCCAAAACTTGATTGCTCGTTTACAGCCCTGCACTGTCGCTAACAGCTTAACAATGTAACTTCTTGGTCATGAATTTAAACAACCTTGTGTTTGCTTTTCTCTGTATGAATTGATTTGTAAGATATTCCATTAACTGTCTAAATACTGTTCCTTAATGTTGTAATAAACTCCACTTCATAGAAAATCTGAGTTTTGTGAGCTGTTGTTGGGGAAGAACGCAGCAGTTGTGGTGGTTTGTGCAAGGCTGAGGCTGTGGTTTGGTTCTCAGCTCCTGAGGGATGCTTGTGAAGGGCTTGAACAAAGAGATCAAGACTGGGTTTGCTCCAGAATCCAGTTTATATTCCATTTTCTCCATTGAACACTCTCTGCAAAGCTCAAGGAATAAAATGGCTTGATAGCCTCTGAAAGTACTGCAATTACCTCACAATGTCACTGTAGAAAGTTTGAGTCTTTCTCTGATCAAAGCAGTCTCCACTCTCCCTGTCCTTCAATGAATGATCTCATTCAATCCACAACCAGCGAGGGTTTCCTTTATTTGTGGCTCCCATCTCACACTGCACTTTGCTCCATGCACAGAGACTTTCAATAACGTAATTTCATGTGATTCCATGTGACACACTTAAAGCTGCTGAAGATAAATCCGAGTTGCTCAAGACAACTGCACTTTGTGGCTCCTCTGTTCCCACAACTGCACGAAACTGAATGTATTTAACAGCTCCCATTTCCCACAATTGCTGTAACTTTCCAACAAAACAGAGTTTTATCTTTTGTCTCCTACAGCAGAACTTTCAGAATGGTGGGACAGTTTCCTTGGCCTTTGGATTATGACTTTACCATCAGCTGGAACCCTTATTTCTGTGTCATGAGCTGACTAAATAACTTATTTCTA